GGCAAGTCAATTTACATGACGGACTATTCTAGTAAAAGGCCTGGATTTCAGCTTCATCTACAAAAGGCTCGAGGCTTTCAAGGCAGCCGGCATCATCCCCCTGTACCGAAGGTTTGGATACGCTTTTTCTGACTACAAAAACCGTAAAAACCGACGAAAGCTAAAGATCGACTTCTACAAGTTCATTGAACTTCACATCACAATTATTAATTTTGTCATCTACTCTTAGGCTGGCATCTTTGAATATTGTTACTAATTAATCCATGAAAAATGTCATTTATTAGGTTCCCAACCTCCGCTGCGAATATATTGAAAAAATCGAGTCCATCCTTTTTGATGTTTCAGAAACTCGACAGAAAGACTATGCGGGCTCTTCAAACAGGAAATTACCTCGATTTTAAAGAAGACTTTGAGAGAGCATTGTCAACTGTTAACACGGATAAGAGACGCGATGTCCGATTAAACGTGGATATAACAACACCTGATGGCTTGCGATCTAAAGGTAAATTTGTTATCGTAATTCTCAAAAGTTAAGCAAAAGTGTTTATATACCTGGTGTAAACTATTCCACATTGCATGAGGCGAAAAGGCTTCAGCCTTGTCACGAAACTGATTTGGCATTTAATATTTTCGCATTACGCAAATTCTTTATTTTGCGTTATTGTTTCAGTAAGCTGTTGAAAGACAGGGTTTAATAAAAATTGTAAATTGCTATTGTTAACATTATGAAACTAAAACATTTAAAAAGGTTACTTAAGCCAGACTTATTTTACTCACAAGCCGAAGCTTGAATTTCGACAATTCGAACAAAAATTCTCGTAAAATCGAGTTTTCTTTGGGCTTCTGCTAAAAAGGAAAAGAGAAATTAATTCTTTTTCGAGTAAATAAAGCCACCTGAAAGGTAAGTCTAACAAAACTGACACTAAATGTAAAGTGTTCACTTATAGTTTAATCCTCTGAAGCTCGTCTCACTAAATAATGAATCCAGCAGTCACTGTTTGTTGTTTACTAACAGATTAGAAAAATAAAATAAACTTTTTCATCAAAAGTTTTGAAGTGGATAACAACAATACTTTGACCTTTGGTGCGCGACTCTTTTTTTCTGTGCGATTCTGGAATTTTCAGCGAGTATAGTAGTATTTAAAACCTTTTGTGAAAATGACACCAACAGCTTTTTTTGTAAACAAATCAGGCGGGGTCTTATAATTATTCTTCAAAAAAATATTCAACGTATTTACCCGCGAAAGAGTCATTCCACAAAAAAAAAAAAAAAAAAAAAAAAGAAAAAGGAAAAAAGAAAAAGAAAGGAAGGAAGGGCCTACAGTTAAGTTGAAAGGATAAAAATGGGGGGAAATTGTAAAAACTAAAAATTTAGTTTTATTTTTTTTTATTTTTTTATCATTTCNTGAAGGAATGTCCTAACTTTCAATTTGAAGGACTAAGATTGGACGAAATTCTATAAGCTGAAAACTCAATGCTAAGCAACTGGAGAACTAAGGCAATGCAGGAGCCTGGCCAATGAGCCGGTTTTGAGTGAATAGGCAGCTGAATATTGGGACGTGACGCAATCAAGAGCTTTTTTAATTTTTTTTTTTTGTCTTAGCCATTCACGCGGACAAAGCTCTGCTTGAAAAATTCATTCAGCCCACAATGGCGCTTGTTGAGGAGGCCTGGTGCGGAGAAGCAACTACCACCAAACGAAACAGAGGTGGGCATAGACTTTTTTAGTTCAGGGCCCGGTTCCTGTGAGACGGATTAGCGCTAATCCAGGATTAAAATTTTTGTTCCGTTTTTGTATTTTACCTTCCTGTGTATTGTTTTGAGTAACATTTTGTGTTATCATTACTGTATCTCGGAGTCAGAAAGGCTAAACAGTAAACTCGAGTTGCATGTTCTCAGACAAAAAACCTTGTCTAAAATTTGGCTTAATCCTGGGTTAAACTTAATCATCTTTCGAGGAACTGGACCTAGGTTATTTAATCCGTTACGATGATAAAGAAGTGGGGAAACAAAACTTTTTGTATAAAAAGAGCCGGAGATGCTCGTCGTTCAGCAGCCTACGAGCAATCTCTCTTGGGCGCTCTGGTCGAGGGGTTTTCCCGCCCCCCGCCAGTGCGCTCCCGAGACCTCGCTCGCAGGCTAGTCGTCCCGCCATGGCAGGAGTTTAAATTGCAGCCTGAGATTACCATTGCGGTTTTTCAGGACCGGATCGGAACTCTAAAATTTTGACCCATACACCTATTGTTTGAATACAGAACGCTCAGAAGAAAAAAAAAGGAACTAGAATCCATTCAATAAATTGTCCTTCTCATCTAATTGAATGGTATCCTTTAAGAAATTATGGTGAAATAAAGCTTGAACAACACCGGGCCCAGGTTCATCTTCAATTTTCAGAACATCATCCCCTCCCCCTTCACTTAAGAGTCGCCCCCAACCCCACCACCAACCCCGGGGACAAAATGATCAAAAACTTACAGCAAAAGAATAAATAAGCTACCTGGTAGATGGCCTGGATGGATCACAGGGATCACTTAGGGTTCCTCATTGGCAAGCGAAACCCGAGTCAGACCTTTTCCTATGTGCGACGATCGTGATATAACATATTGTGAAAAACAACACGTTTTATGACAGATCTCCAGATTCGTAAGAACACGATGGCGTGGAAAGGTACCTTTGTAAGATGCGGAAGGAAATTAAGAGTACACTTACAACTGTCAAAAGTATGAGACAAATCAACGCCCTAATGCCATCTCGCCACTAAGCGGGTCAGAGGACTTAACCAGCGACCAGGCTAAAGCACGAAGGTCGGCTGAAGGGAAGGGAAGAAGGACCTTCCGATCGCAGGTTGCAGAGGTCTGTTCTCGAGACATGATCAAGTACGAAATAAACCCTGCCCTGTACACGCAGGGTTTAAGATTTTCTGACTCTCTACAAAATGCCCCAGTTGATAAATTGGGCTTGGTATTTGGATGATATTGCTATTGCATGGTAGTGAAAAGATGCTTAGTCTTCTTTGATAACGGCACTCAAGGGTCCAGTTTCCGACCGCTCCGTGCTTTGCGCAATGCTGAAACTGAGTCTTGTTCTTTTTGCAGATCGACTGTTCGGTTTGGCGGGGCAGAAGATTGAACTGCACTCTCGACCAGAAAAAACTGAGGTGAGTGAAAATTGAATGGGAACTGGTCTGTGCTTCCCTGTCTCTTGTTTGGTGAACTGACAAATAAAACTGGATTGGCGCGACCCTGTTTCGTGATCTCGCGATTACCTGTGGCATAACTAGAGAGGTTAGGCATCACGTTTATTTCAAACGGCAAACGCGAATTTCTTCCACGTGACCAAGTTTCCCCTTTACTTGTCGTTTACTGTTCATTATTTCTACACAGAAATTAGTAGTTTCACGCAATTTTTTATCCATAAGAATTGTTTGAAGCTGTTTTTATCTGCTCATTTTATATTTTGAGAAATTCTCAAGTGGAATCCGATGTTTGCCGTTTGCCGTATACGTGAAGCTTAATCCCTCCACTGTATACAGCTGTGTACAGCAAGGACTAGAACTGAAAAATTCTCAATTTCTTGGGGGCGTAGTGTTCAAAGAGTTCACATCAGCCAATGAAATGACTAAAAGAATCCGTTCACCACCAAAACAACAAACATGTATGCCGTCAACGGTTTAAACCGTGTAATGTGAAAACTACCCTGAACGAAGAGGCCAGAATTGAGGTCTCTTGCTTGTTTGTTTTTTGCCCTCAATCTTCGGTCTTTGCTCAAAATTCAATGACTAAAAAACGCGTGGATCGAGTTATCAGCGGGTACGTTCTAACCTCAGTATGACAACCAAACCCAAGCCTATTAACAGATTTTTGTTTTAAGAGGCCATATTTTTAGATAACAGTGCAAACTTTGCTCGGATAAGAAATATGTTATGTTATACGATATTGTTATATTTGACGTTAGAGTGCGCATTTTCTTTAGGGGAAGAAGATTTCTCCCGCTTTGCCTGGTGTTAATAAGTGGCTTAAGTCGTCAAATGAATATGGTAAGTTTTTAAAAAATATTGCAACTATACAAGGCCAGTATCGACAAGCTTAATTATTTTCCATATTAGCCAATGATTGTGCCACCTACCGGCAAGAGTATCGTCAGTACAGTGCTTTTTACGTTTTGTTTTTCTCATTTGCTAATTCCAGAGGTCCGTTCCAAAAATATCTACGATTAAATAACCGTGTCCGATGGTTATATGGAAACCTTTATAACCCAGGAACCAGATGTTAGCGCTATTCATCGGATAAATCATTGTCCTACCAGTCAGTGTTAGGGAGACCACCGTAAATGACGCGTGTCAAACAGAATCTAAGCTCAAGTGGATAGAGCCCCCGCCCTGTGTTTGGGAGGTCATAGGTTCGAATCCTGTCGGGGACTCAGAGTTTTCCTTTGTCCCACGCTCGTGACATGCTGATCACTTCATTTTTACATTTGCTTCATTGAGCTTAAAATATACCATCTTTCATTCTTTCACCATACCGTAAATGAGTTATCCACTGGATACTGACCAATACACGACGAGTATTTGAAATTATTATGTATCGTACTCACCATTTGTCTTCTCGTTGGAGAGCCTACAGTTAATTTTGAAAATCAGCGCAACCTACAGTTCATACTGACTAATCTGTAGGTTGCGAGCGCAATGCATGAGTTCCAAGAGTTATGTCAGACTGTCCCTCATGCGATGCTCTGTTTGTCCTTATTTTCTTCAAAACAATGTGTAATAAAACAATTATTAGATTTGGCTCGGCTAATAACACTTTTTGTCTTATCTCGACTGCCTTGCTGCGGCTACGGTCCTTTTCTGCTAAAGCAGGCTTTTCAACGACCACGCTATGCCCTGCATTCCATACAGATAATTTCGTCTTGGACTATATAACTGACTGGACTCTGTGGTCAACTGACTCGCGTTCGACTAACCAATTCACAAACACATTCTTTTTGCAGAAAAAGCTGTGGTATACAACTTTATGGATACATTGTCTAAGGCAAACTCAAAGCCCGTCCCTACAAGACCTGTTACACCCAAACCAGAGGAGAAAAGACCACCTCGGCCACAATTCTCTAAAGAACTTTACTTCCAACAGAGAGCAAAGAGTGCTCGCTCACAAAGAGTAACTGAACGTCCATCGCTACCTCCGCGTCCTAAATCTGTTGGATCCATTAGGTAAGGAGTTTATTTATCAAGATTGAGATAAATGTCAAAGGTGTACTTTCATTACAGACAGCAAGCAGCCTCTTTAAATTTAAAGGAGCTGTGTCACGAAATTCAGCCAAATTAGGAAATTGCAAAATGCCTGTTTAATTAAGAGAAACATAAAAATAACCGCTTAAAACTTTAAAGGAAGGTTAAAACAACATAACAGAAACAACAGATGCCACGGATGGGCAAAACTGAAGAAGATTGAAACGGATTGAAATTAGGGTTTTTGAAAACTGTTCAGCCTAACAGTTTTTCAAAGTTGATCCCTGCTGCTTGCAACTTCAAAAATAATGCTCTGGAGACATATTTGTATGTCTCGGATCTCTGATTTGTCATTTAGATGTAATTTCTTTGCTTACTTTAGCGATTGAGGGCGAGTAATTTGCAAAATTTATCAAAATGAACCGGACTGCCGGACACAGCCCCTTTAATGGGGCAACAAAGGGGCGCGGAGCAGCGAGCATGGAAGCTGCAAGAAACAAGAACGAATGCAGGGGTTTGAGAAAGAGCACGTTGTGTCGGCAACAAAACAAGCAAAAATTCAGGTCGTGGAAATTTCTAAATAGAAAGAACAATAGGTGGGGTGAATATCTTAGTCAACTTGACATGAGTTGCGAGTATTCTTGGTTCTGCATTCCACAGAATCTCTCCCATTTGCGCATGCTTTATAGTATGTTCCTATTTGGAACTTACGAGTTGCCTGTGCTGTTGCCTGTTAAGGTGGAATTCTACCGTCGCGCAATAATCACGCGCATAGGCAAGTAAATATCTCGCTCAAACTTATACGTTTACGAGCGGCCTTTCAAAACATTGCCTTTATATTATTTACGCACGTAAACATTACTCCACGGTAGAAGTCAACCCCTGAGACTTACCTTTTAGGGTGGAGAGAGACGACACGACAAATATTAGGGACTTTAAGATACCACAACAGCGACGATAATGAGAACGTCAAAAAAGAGATTGAAAGAATGCAAATTCAATATTTAAGCGACGTTTTCGTAGCCGTCGCCCTCCATTACAAAGATTTCGCTTGCAACCCCTCAGGTTATTGTCTTGGGCGAATACATGAATTTAGGAAACTATTCTACAAATGTATAGTCATATTCAGCTCAGTGTCAGAACCACTTTGGTTTTTATAACTTTCTTTCTTACGTTTTCATCCTTTTTGTGGGCAAATTTCAGAGAAGAAGATAAGGCGTTGGACGAAACAGAAAATCATTTCACAGAGCATGCGCGCCACCACCACCATCATCACCTTAATCACACTGAAGGCAAATGTGAATTCTGTGATTATCTCAGAGTGAAGAGGTTACTGGAACACCTTAACAAGTGAGTGTTTCAAATTCTAGAGTGGCTCATAAGGATATTTTGCTTGAAGCTGCTACAACGGTAGCGCTGAGACTTCATTATCACTATAGCTAGTATTTCTTTGGAAAATAAAAAAGGTTAGCCCTCTTTTACTGTTGATAACCCCTACCGTTGTTACGGAAACCACAAAATGCGCAGTCGATTTTTACAAAAGTGCTAAGTTCTTCTGAAAAAAATGGAACCTCGTGTATTATAACCTTTACATAATTCTAAATTCTCCTTTTAGGTATGGATCACATGGCTTAGGTGAAGCTACACTCAGTCATTTGCTGAAGCCCCGAGTGGATCCTTCATATAATCCATCGTACGAGGATTATGATTACGTACATGACAACTCATTCTTCACAAATACCAACACAAGAGATCGAGGTTATTTTATCATAGCCCCTGACTGGGTATCTGAAAGAAAAGGTATCCTTTCCACTCATTACCAGTGAGTGAACCAAAGATCATCAAGCAGTTGACATTTTCAGCGATTTATTTTACTCAAAGGGACTATGTCAGGCTATTTACTATCTTTTCAAAAAGCTAAAACCTTTTTCGCATAAACTGTGTTCTTAAAATAATAGCCGCGGTTCAGTTTTGTTAGTTAAAGACTACATTTAGGCAGTGCAACTGTTTCCTTGCGTCTGTTGTAACGGATGGCAAGGATGGACATAGATTGAAACTTTGAAAAGTTGGGCCAACCTTTAGTCAAGTTTTAGGCAATGCCTGCAAAATTCACCAAAACATCTGGGCCGGGTTCCTGAAAGACCGATTAGCGCTAATGCAGGATTAAAATGTTGTTCCGTTATTGTATTTTACCTTCCTACAAAACGCTTAGAGTAACAATTTGTGTTATTATTACTGTATTTCGGAGTGAAGGTTAAATAGTATTTTTAAGCCCGAGTTGCATGTTTTTAGACAAGAAAACCTTGCCTAAAATTTAGCTTAATCCTGATATAAAGTTAACCGTCTTTCGAGGAACCAGGCCCTGATCGTAATTATTGTTTGTTTGATATCCTCTTCGTAACTGAACAGGAGCATTCTGTGTATGGTAAAAGTAGTTGAGTAATGACTTTAGCATAGAATTGATCAAAAAAGGCAATATCTTCAAAACCTTTTAACAGGTCTATGAAAACTTCGACTCAAACGAATGTAGCCGTTACAAAAAACATCGTGCTGCTTATCAAGAATGAAGTCAAGTCCTTTTGTGTTTGTAATCGCATACGAACTTTCGCGTTCACGGCCTCTTTCCTCGCGTACATCCTTTTGCCCTCGTTAACACTTTGCTTGAGAGGATAATTTCTAAAAAAAAAAAAGCATCTTTCTCGTGTTAACAACCCTAAACGTTTAAGTTTATTTGCGTTTACAAACTTCACCGGACTCGTATGAACAACATAGCGGTCAGTCTTAGCTTCTGGCTTTTCAGGCGTAAAAATGAAAGAGAAATAGTGGATTCAACGGTACTGAACCAGTATTTTGTCAACTCTTTCTCCGCCCCACTAAGCAGATAGATTTCTGGATATTTCTTCTAGTTAAAATAAGTAACAATGACTTCCGCAAAACCAAGAAAGATCCAGCTGTTAATTGTCGCAAACTCTTCTGCTTTTAATGAGTGTTGTTCGTAAAAACCAAATGAAGTTTTATTAATTCCTTCAGGCATTTTTTACTTTTTTCGCAAGTTGCTTTTTATTGTGCAAACAAACAGAGAAACAAGTTCAATATAATTAATATATTTCCAACCCCTCACGATTTGTTCGAGCAACATCTTGAAATCGTCACAAAAACGACTTTATGAAATAACATAGGGCTATTTATTTGAACAATAGATGTATTTTTCTTAAGTGTAAATAGTTCACTATAGAGGGATATTGGTACAGCTCTTAACATGATATTTAATAAAATTCACCAACAACCCAAAATGTTTCGTCTGCTACTTTTTGGCCACAAAAACTTAAAAACCCTTGCGTACAACTGCTATTTTTCAAAAGATAATTCGCCGCGTATCATCACTATTTACCCACACGCCCGCGGCTATATGTGGTTGCAGGCTTCGGCACCGGCAGAGAAAGGATGGTGGAAAATTCAAAGTTTAAATAAGATTATGTAGTCACCAAATATATCTTTTATAGTCAGATGACACCGCTCGGAAACTGTCTAACCCTCTTCAGTACTTTTGGCAGCACTTCACTAATCTGATTTCATAATTATACAGTCAAACCTCCCGTGCGAAGATTTAGTAGTCGCTTAAGAGAATCGACCTACAGGGGGATCTCTTCCGAGAAGGGGCACAGACACGTCTACTATTTGTAAGATAATTTATTGTACTCATTTTCTGAGTTACTTAGGTGTAGTTTCAAGTTGTCACTATAAGTTCTTCGTATGCTCTGATTAGCATGAAATAGTGTAGTACATTAACAGCGAACTAAGAGACCAGACCATGTGTAAAGCGGTCGCTTTAAAAGAGGTTAAAAGCAATGGAAGATCACAAAACTGTCACCCCAAAAAGTGGTCGCTGTCGCTCATGAGAGGTTGCCGTTCACGACAGCTTTCACCAACAGGGTTTTGACCGGGAAAATATTGGTGTTTTGGGTCTGTGGTGGCTTATGAGAGGAGGTCGCACATGCGGGGTCGACTGTACTAGACACTTGGTATTCTCTTATTTTTAAGACAGCATAGAAAACAGGTTGTGTCACGCGGCATGTGTATTCAGTGAAGTCACACAAGTCGCATGAGCGCGTCAAATATCGGCCTAGTGGCCTCGGCACTAGGTACTCTTGACTGTCACTTAACACCTTATCCAATTCCAGCCATTCTAACCTGTTCACCAGCCGTCTTTCCATGACTGTGAACCTTGCTTTATAATATCCCGATTTTCCCGCCTCGATCGAGTCACTGCGGAGGCTTCGCCTCGCTTCCGTCTGCGCACGTCTCTTTGTTTTTTATCCAAACTCTTTTTCACTCGAGTTCTTATTTCTCTCGAGTCAATCGATGACCTCGTAACGGAACTTGATTGACTGCTGAGATTATCACCGTGGCCTTTCTCAGTCACGTGAGTCTTGGCATCGCGATACGGTCTGTGCTGCTTATTTTGATAGCTTAGCTCTTCTAGGTCACAGTCCTCGCCCGTTTCTTGTTCTTCTTGGTCTTCTTCGAACGGCTTTATATAATCCCCTGCGCCTTGCTGTTCATCAGTGACGCTTTCCTTGGTATTACACTCCCCCTGTTCCATGTTGCTATCATCACTGTCTTCCTGTTCTTGAACCTGCGATGTAACTTCAGAGTCTTTGGAATCCTCTTTGGAATCCTCATCTTCCAAAGATGCCAGAAGGTCAGCGGCAGCCTAGACAAATATCACAATAGCCTTGATGTACTTCATTTATCAGCCTTTATATTAAGCGATAGCAAGTTCCTCTTAAATATTATACTTTGCAAATAACCACGGGCGAATGAATGAATGAATGAATGAAACAATGAATGAAACTGTTAATGAGAAGGGCCAATCCACTGATTCCACCCAATATAAATTATTAATAAGTTTTTGAGAAATAAACTGAGTAACGTTATTCGACGCTTCGATGTTTCTAACATTGTTATCAAGAATGAAAACCGTCAAATGTCAAAGGTTGTTAAAGGAGTTTAGCCGGATTTGAATTCATTAGATGGCATTCGTGTATGCTTGATTATTATGCATATGTCCTAGGCACGTTTAGCGATGGTTTGAGTTGCTGTATAAACAGCATTTAGCAGACAAGGCATTCAAATTTATTTCTACACTTTTTGAGGACCAAAAAATTGTCCGTGAGGGTTGGTTTCTCGACCTCATCTCTTTTAACAGCTTTGATATTTAACGGTTTTCATTCTTGATAATGATGTTAGAAACAATGAAAAATCGAAACGTCGAATAACGCTACTCCGTTTAATTTTTCTTGTTAAATACTTAAACAAGCAACTGACAATCCACACTCTTGAGAGATGATTAAAATTAATAAATGTATTGCAATACGACACTAGGGAGAAATGAGTTTTCTTCCCTCCCCTCCCTGTTAGCAATAAATGTGTCTTCAAATGTCTTTACCTCATCAAATGACTCAGACATATCACGAGTGAAGCCACTTGCTGCCACTTCAACATCCAAGTTATGAAGCCGTCTGAATAAAAGAATGAACACGAAAATACACAAATTAATGATACAAAAGAAAGACGCGTACATCTAAAGGTACATGCACTTAATATCTAAGACAAGCTAGTACCTGAATCGTCCCCAGTCGTCTTCGCGCGTAACGCACGCGCGGCGGGAGAAGTGAGTATCCTCCTTAAGTATCCTCCTTCTTATCACACCCCGCGCGAAACTTTAACGCGAAACTAGGGAGAGATAGTAAGAGACGACTGGGGACGAGTCAGAGCCAGCACAGCATATTTTTATCATACAAAGTAATGCTGTCATTTCATTCGAATTAAACACAGCTGATGACAGCGACGGCCGTAAAAAAAAACCTCCAAAAAAGCGAATTCGTCAGTCGCGCAATTTGTAAATATAGGCGGATTTTCCTAGAGTTGAATTCTTAAGGACAGTATCCAAGTTCAGATAGACAGTACATGCAGAACAACGGAAATTTAATGTCGCGTCAGGCCCACCATAAAATGTCCCATTAAGAAACTACATCAAACATAGCCTGCGTAGCAGGTGGGGTTTTAGTAAGTTTTTCCTTCAAGTTTCGTAAAAGACGAGGTCATCAAACGAGAAAACGATGAAGGAGGAGGGGACGTGATACGAATGAAAGTGGTTTCGCCCCCCTTGTTTCTTGAGGGGCGAACTATAACGGGGCGAACTCGTTGCGGGGCGAAACCACTGGATTCCCGTGTCACGTACAGAGGGCAGAGAGAACACTTTTTTCTTTCCCTTGCCCCCTCCCCAACCGTTTTCTCGTTTGACCTCGGTTCAGCTTTCGCACCTCTGTTTCCCTTACTTTACGAAACATAAACGAAAAACACATCAGAATACCGCTTACTACATAGGGTACATGTCATAGGTATGGAGATGATGGCAAAGAAATGTGATGCACTTGTTGACATGTTGCTTTGTTCATTAAATCAGTTCATTTTGGCGATATCGTTGCTTAAGCTATCTACTGTAAAGTTTTTGTTGACAAGGAAACCTTATTCTAGAAACGAGAAAGACTGGACAAGTCTTTTCGTTTAAGGGAAATACTTGTCAATGTATCTGCTGTTAGAAACACCACAAACTTCACGTATCATAAAATCTAAGCTAACTAATAGCTACATGACAAGCAAAACGACTTACCTCACATCTGCAAACTTGGGATAAAGTTCACTTTCATACGAAAATCGCCGAAGGAAAAAATCTCTAATGCACTGCACATCTCTGTCAAAATACCTTGAAAATGAGAAGACAAACAAAAAACCGCACTTCACATCATTGATGTTATTCAACTGAAAAGGTAATTGAAACATAAACAGCATTGAAAACGCACTCACCATTGTGCATTCGGATGAGAAATTGACACCATTTGAGGAAAATCAATGACTGTCACTTTATCATCTTCATTGACAATCAAGTTGAATTCATTAAAGTCGCAGTGTATCAGTCCATAGCTGCCAAGTTTTACAATTAACTCCATGAGATCGTTATACAGAGCTGATGGATCAGCCACGTCATGAACTTGACACCTTGTAATCAACAGAGAAGCATGTTACCATAGCAACAAGAAGGAAATGGAAGCAGATGCATTTTACAGTCTTCACACTGTTTATCTTGGTATCTCACGGAAAACTCTTACATACATACTCCCCATGATGGCCTGTACGGGGAGGCTCCACCCAAAAAGGGTACCCCATCAAAATATCACTTGATAAGATATAAGAAATAAAATCGATAATACGAGAAGTCTTCTTGACATAAGGCATAAGGCACCTCTTTTTGAAACATTTTAATTAAAGGCCCCTTTTTAAAAATGCTTAAATGATAGATTTTGCTATTGTTTCATATACCTCAACTGCTGAATTCCGTACCATTTTCAATGGAAGGTATACAAAAGGGGTACCTTGTCTGTAAAAAATGGAATAAAAAGGGTAGGGGGTTGTACATTAGGGCAGAGCCTTGCCATATAAAACTTTGTTGAGTAGCCCCCCTAGAGCACAGTAGTGAAAGAGCATAGTTTTCACCAGTTTATCAGCATAGCTCAGGTTCAAATCCTGGTAATGCAATATTTAGGAGACACTGTTGTTGGTTCTCTTCTTTGTTCTCAGATGTTTTTCTCTGGATAGTCCAGCTTGCAAAGCAGGCGTATTTTGCACTGCGAGCGATTCGGGCCTGGACTGACCAAGAGTTGGGGTGAGTCAATAAAATAATGATTCCAAGGTAGAGGTTGACGTGTCCTCCTCTCAGTACCTCTGGGTCACGCTTGAAAAAAAAACGCATGCTCTACAGGCTTTGGATAGTCCAGGTGTTTTCTCTCCTCAAAAACCAAACTCTCACTGGAACACAGAGAACAAGCTCCTAAGAGCTTCCATGTGTGGGTCTTGATGCATAACCAAACCCCACACAAGAGAACCAGCTACAGTAACATGCTAGCCTCTTAAAGGGGCTATTGTTATCTTTTTAGAAACTACAGGTAAAGCATGTGTTTGCATTAAAAGTGAATAAATATTATGATGTGTTAACAAGAAAGAGCCCAGCCCATGATACACTTACAGTGGATGACCATCAACAAGCTCCATGACAACAGCATGACGATTGAAGTCGATTGGTTTTGGAACTGGATAGCCATTATCATAAAGAGCCTGCAAGACACACAACTTGTCTCCTAAATAATGTATCATTTATCATAGCTGCTTCGAGTTAAATCATAGGCTTTATGTTGTTGGTACATACCCCCAGGTTTGTACTACAGCAGTGTCCAGTGGCTGCTGATGATTTGATCAATAATTTGTACTTGGTTGAAAACAATCTTAGTTTGTATGCAGGCAACCTGGAATCTTTGTGGCTTCACAGCTTTTGGCTTCGTAGGTTTTCAAGATCTTGCCATCAAGAAGTTGGAAATTTAAGAACTTGTAGGCAAGATGTTGAAAACTCAAGATCTTGCTTCAAGAAACCGAAAATTAATGTCCCTGCTAACAAAATGTTGAAAATTCTAAGTTGCTGGTAGGTATGGCTCATGCGGAAACCTTGAAACAAGCAAGGGGTGAACAAAATCACCTTTAACTGCAGTCATGTACACATGACGCATGTTTAAAAAAAATATTGAATGCTTTTTTGTGGGATCTGGAATAATCACAGTCAAAAGGCTGATAACACTTCCCAAGACATTGATTACACATAGTTGTCCAATACCCCAGCAAATTCATGCATAGCCTTGTTAAATTTATCATTGTCTTGCTTTGTTCTTTATTGTTATGCTTTTGTACAGTATTGTAAGGTGAAGACAATACAATACCATGCATAAATTTGTCAGAGTATTGGACAACCCTCTGATTCCAGATATAATAAAATAACTAGGAGTAATCGGAGCATAGGAGAGTGCGTTCGATATGTTTGTTGAGGCAGAAGGGTGGTTGCGATGTAGATAAATATGATTATGGCATATTTTGAACATAAGGGTTGCGTACGGTGAAACCTCTATCTAAACTGTGTATCATTTTAACAAAGTTTTCAAAAGATATCGTATGGTTCGGTGTCAAGTGCTTTTAATCGGAGGAGACATTGGCCAGCGTCGGACATGTAAATGGAACATTTTGTTTTACTGGCACGAGTTACAGGGCGCAGTTTCTCAAAGGCCGATTAGTTCTTAACCCAGGATTCTTTTTCTTTCTTCAAAAACATTTCTTCGGATAATTTTCTCTGTTATTTTTAAGAGCATCCAATCAACTTGTTGACAAAATGAATTACATTGAATTTACTGGTTTAAAAGCTTTCACATCTGAATTCAAACTTTGCACTAACCCTATCAAAGCCATCAATGGAACGTGTGTGCGGCTCACGTCAATAACTTTTCCAGTAATTTGTTCGAGCGTGTTGATTTCAGTGACTCGAGAGTGGCGCTACTGTGGGCTGATTTATAAGTTTTTCCTAATAAATAACATAGAGTTAAAGTGCTCGTTTGTCCGGTGCCGAAAATATCACAAGTCATGGTCAAATGGCGCCGCCGAGCTTCCCATCTCGGTAGATTTACTTTGTGGCACAACAGCTGCCGAGCTACACAACTCGTAAATTTACTTTGTGACAAAACGGCCGCCGAGCTCCACAACTCGGTAAATTTACTTTGTGGCATAACGGCCGCCGAACTAAACCCAGTTTGATGCATGCACCAGTAGTCACAGACATTTTCCAAAGACAGTGACGAACCAAAGTAAAATTTAACAGCAAACTTCTGAAAGATGAACGCTTTGGATGATTCAGCAATCACAGATCGATGTAGGCTTTACGAAGATTCAGCAAACTTTTTAAAAGATGAACGCTTTACGAAGAATATCAGACCTTAGCAAACCTTTGAAAGATGAATGCCGAGGACACAAGAATCACCACATGAGTTGGTGCCTCAAAGTGAGGCAAAACTTAAGCAAGCGCCTCAGAGCAAGGCAACGACAACGAACGAAAATGCAATCTCAAAAAATGTCCCTTATTAATTGCACAGGTCATCCAATAATGCACAGAACACCCAACACAAATTATTAGGGGTTGCGTTCTCGTACCTTGAATGCAATTATTGTCTTATTATATAAACACCAAGGAAATACCAGGTGAACTTTCGCGCGAAAACTTGATATCTTCACATGTGAAAATAACATGTTATCTTCACATGTGAAAATATCACCATTGCTATGGCTTCATAATAAATCACACCTTTCACACCAAAAAACTATTAAAGTGAAATGGTTTGGTAGTTCATTGGTGTTTATATAAGAACATTACATGGACGGTTGGAGATACGAAATTTCTCTTCTCGTGTTGAAAAAATATTTCACTCGTTCGCTGTGCTCACTCCTGAAATATTTTTCAACACTCGAAGAGAAACTTCATATCTCCGTGTGGCCATGTAATATCCTCTATTTATTAAACATTGTTTTGAATAAAATATAACGAAAAACACATCATTTCACAGAACGCAGTTTGACATTACTCTTGAAAATCACACATCTAGCATGCAACCTACGGATTAGTCAGTCAACTATAAAGCAAATAAGTAAAGGAAAATTCTGAAGACTTATATTATTCAAAGGCCCTTTTTAACGGGCTTATTTTTACAGGGGCTTATATACAGAGGGAAATTTGTGTTTCAAAATCAGCTAGGCTTATACTGGGAGGGAACTATGTCCACTGGGCTAGCTTATAGTGCAAAGGAGATTTACGTCAGTAATTTGCAGCAAGTTTTCGCCTTGAGGACGAAGACCTTTCTAAAACTCAACCATGCGAGTACTTTGTCTATATGGACCGAGGAAAATATTTATCCAAGCTAGCCTGAAGAGAGAACTAGCAAACAGCATTATACTGTAACACTTTTTGACTGCAATCATTTTTGGCATACGTGATAGTTCTTTGGCAAATGCAAAAATTTTACGTGTTACTGTACAGTTTTTGCTTTGTTTTATTTTGAATTTGAGGGCAATTTCTGAATACAAGGCCCCAGGGGCTTGTATTTGGAGGGCAATTCATGGGAGATTTTTTTTAAGTTACGAGTTTGGGAGGCTTATATTTGGAAGGGCTTATACATGGACGGGCTTATTTTTGGAATTTTATGGTAACTACCGTTCACTGTAAGTGCGCTGATTTCCAAAATTAACTGTAGGCTTGTAGCCACAGAGAAGAAAGATTAAGTGAGTACAAACTATTTATAATAATCAGTGTTATTAGCCGGATGAAGCAGAGTTGGACTCTACTGTTTGTTACAAATCTACCACTAATCTATATGACTAGGTAAGTTAACGTTTTGTGGGTTCAACCTTTTAGAAGTTAGAAAACACACCTTCATATAAGCATACTCTTTTACAGCTGCCAGACGTGAAAGATATAGCCAGGAAACATTTTTACGATGTTTAAGGTAATCTCTCTTTTGTTTGAGCTTTCGAAAAGACGTCCTTCCAAGTCTAGTGAGAAAGGATTATAGAAAATGGCAAATTTTCAAATCTTTTACTAGGAAATAACAATGATTTGTTACCTTTTTTGTACAATACTTGGTACCAACCTGTGTAGTTTCAGGGCATGTTGATTGTCTTCTTCATCAGCAATAATATAAATATCTAAAGACAACACAAAGATTAAGATATCAAATATCGCTAGTAGAATGCATAGAAAATATGGGAATTTTACTAGCACCACAAAAAAACTTTTTTTCTGTTATTTTCTCTCCCTTAAGATGTCATTCTACAATGGAGCTTTGAAGTACAGTGGAAGCTCTTGTGAGCAGACACCGTCAGGATGCCAAAAAAGTGTCTGTAACTGGAGCTGGCCACTGACAAGAATGTAAAAAGGCAGAGTTTGTAAGTACCAATGCAAGCTCGTTTAGTTTTTGCTATTCTGCGTAGTTTTTTCCTTATCTACATAAATTTATTCTGTTTTTTGTAAACGTTTCTTCAAGCTGGCAAATAAATGGTTGCTGTTCTTGTTGTTGTATTGTTTACGGGAGTTCAGAAAAAAAGGGGTTTTGTGAATTCAAAGGCATCCATTGGTAGAGCTGTCTGCTTACAAGAATGTCCATTTGGAGAGGCTCCCACTGCGTTACTGAACACAACTTGGACACTGATATTTTTTTTTCAATTAAAAAATACCTCAGCACAGCCATACAACCTGGCCTTACAGTATGAACACCCTGTTTGTATGACTGTGTCATTATTATAACAATTTTATTGAGCGGCATGATGTAACAACACGCTGTCATTTTAATATCTGAAAACCTTGTTAAATGATAACCTTGTAGGCAAAACCACACTTCAAGGCTCTTAGGTGCATGGTTGTGTTAATCACATTACAGTATTTGTTCTGACAACAGACAGTGACCACTTTGCCACATACAAGTCTATAAGGGACTTGGTAATAATTCATTAAAAGATTCTTGCTCTTGCAAAGATTATTAAATTTTATTTAATCATAGTGAGTATGCAATGATTTACACACCAGATTCTTTGCCAACTCCAATCTGATTGCCGACGGACTGAACACTACCTCTTGTTGTCAGAGCCTTCAGAGCCAGATAATCATAGCCACTGAAAGTGAGTCTGTAACCTTCAACTGAAACAGTTAAAAAGGTATAAAAAGTGACCACACACATAATAACCCCCAACATCATTCTATAAGATGTGCAAGTCTTTCCATAAGTTTTCAACTCTCCAAATGAAGGCAATTTTAACTTTAAAGGTTTTACGACACATAAACAAGACCATGTTGGGGTAAAATTCCAACAAGCAACATGGCCTTGAAACAGATAACACAGCAGAAATGGCGACAAAAGACACAAACATGGGTTGAAACTGCGACAACAACAGAGAAAAGCACAAATACATGTACCATTATGATAGTACAATACTGACAGCAACATGGCTTCCTCCTCAAAACGCGAAATGACAGGTTTTAAAATTCAGACTAGGGACATACATAATCTGCCTAAGAGGGCCTCATAAGCTCTCAAAACCTAAATTGTGCACAATCAATAGTATAAAATATATTGCATATATTATATATCCTAGTGATCTCACCTCTACCAGACTTTTCATAACACACCAACTTGTGTTTTGTGAGCTCACGGAGGATCTTGTGAGAGCCTCCGTGTTTGAGGTCAGCTATGGAGGCTACAAGAGGTGTGGGTACTAGCTCATGGTTTTTCATTCCCATTTCCACCTGGGGAAAAAAGAATTAAACTTATTATTGTAGTCACACCTGTAAGGGCTGTCGACATATTCACTTTTTCCCCACTTAAAGTCAACTGGACGTTTAGGTCAGAGTCCCCTCCCCCACTCCTTAACGTCCACTTGAAATTTTGCAGCCCCAAAAGTCACTGTATTCCAGAATGAATACTGACATGCACTTGCATGATGATGTCAATGGTATGAACACAATTTACTGCACAATTCTCCAACCTGTTCTATTGAAAAATCTGTATAACTGCTTTTTCCTGCTGATACTTTTGATTTACTACTACACTACAGTATTCAGAGATCAAAGCCATGGCCGCCATGTTTAAAGTATGTCAAAAAGTAATAATGTATTGGGCACAGTTGGATTTGATGATCACAATTTAAATGGTACAACTGGTCCTGCTTTCTCTTAAATAATGTCACGAGCACCTTTCCACACATTACCTAAAATTTATGAAAATCAATGTATCACTTTGCTATTGTCCAAAAATGCCCCTCAGCTGCAGCTGAATAATAAGTAAGGGGCCATTAACATATTCACTTTTCCCCTACTTAACATCAACTGGGCATTTATGGGAAAGAGGGTAAGGCAGTGGACGTTTGTGCGGGGTATTTTTGGACAAAAGTGCAAGAGCCGAGTAGGACCAACCATAGAAGCGGTTGTCAACTGCGATCTTTCCACCTCTGCGCTTAACTACTAGCAACTTACACATTTTACATTTTGATCTTTCAAAACTGAGCAGTTGCGCAGATTTTGCAAGAGAACAGGTGGGAGAAAGCATAATTCGAAGTATGAGGTTTCCACCACGTTTTAAAAGCAGTAAATTGTGTTGATACGATTGATATCCTTAAGTAAGGGGATTTCACAGATTTCAGTATATTTCCTTCTGGAATGCGACTTTTGGAGCAGTAACAAATTAAGTGGATGTTAAGGAGGGGGGAGGGTGGGGATCTGACCTAAACGTCCAGTTGACATTAGCGGGGAAAAAGTGAATGGACTATTGCATTTAATATCCGGACCCCCTGGTTGAAGAACCAAGGAATTCTCCCGGGGTAAGTTAAAAAAATTGAGGATTTCTTTAGGGGTAGAGTAAAAAAATATGGAATTCTTTGGGGGTGAAGCTTTAATTTTCACGAAATTCTTCAGTGGTAAAGCCATATTCTTCAGGGGTACATGTAGTACCCATATTCTTCAGGGTTAAGCCCATTTTTTATGGAAGTCTTCAGGGGTGAATGCAATTTTAGCCAATCTTCATGGGTAAGAAAAAAGGTAAGTCCTCAACCGGGGGGGACGGATATTAAAATAAAATAGCCCAATATGTCGCCAGCCCTAGTCTAATAAGCACATTCAAGTGACGTGTTCTAGCCTCTCACATACAATAATATTATAATTATTTCCCCTTCCTTTGCCATTTTAAAACAAACCTTATCGAAACTGGCTGTTTACGGTAATTGCAATCTGCCCTTTGGTTCGATGAACTGACTCAGACTCGTACTTTCCTAAAACGTGTTCCAACTTCAGTCTTAATTTAATGAGAACTTACCGCTGTCAGCACCCTAAATTCCTCGGAGGAGAGATATCGAAGCATCGACACATTCAACTTGCCCATGTTGCTGTCCAGGTGAGTCAGAAGGTGTGTATTTACAAAATATGAGCTTAGAAATCTTATATTAACCAGATTTTCACGAGGAAGCTTCACTCTACATTTCACGAGAGAAGACGAGAGAGCGATGATTCCTCGAAAAAACAACACTTGAGCCCGCTGTACTCCCTGCTGAACATTATTGCGCAATAAGTTCATTGGTCGCCAGCACCAGATTAGTCACGGTCCTTTTCTTTCCCGTTCTTTTTCATGCAGAAAGTTAAGCCCCGTACAAACGGTCGCGACATTATTGCCCATCAACAACTCCAAAAAATGTTGGATGTTACATGTTGCGTTCGTTTGCACACCCTTTTGCATGTTGTTGGGAGTTATTGCGCAAAGTTTAAAATCAGTATCCTTCCCCCGGGGGGGGGGAGGCACTTGGGTATTTTTTGGGTGGGTATGTGCCGCCCGGGACTCCAAATTGGCACCCCGTTCTAAAAAAAATTTCCCCTAAAATTGATACCCCGTTCTAGAAATGGGCCAGTTTTTTACACCCCGTTCTAGAATTCGCCCTAAAACTGATACCCCGTTCTAGAAATGGGCCAATTGTTTATACTCCGTTCTAGAAAGTTTGTAAATTGAAATAGCCCTGTTTTTTTAAAAAGATATTTCTTTATTTGTTCGACTTATACATCAAATAAATGCTTCTTCATAATCAGCAACTTTTTTAGGCAGAAGATAAAGCCGCCATCCACAATTTTTTATACCCCATTCTAGAAAACGCCTCTGAAATGGATACCCCGTTCTAAATCAGGAGCTTCAAAATCACGACCCCGTTGGGCGGCACATACCCGTATAGGTAATGTATGGGAGTACCCCCCCCACCCCGGGATCCTTCCCACTAAGCACTGCAGCTCCCAACATTGTTACGCAACAGCTCCCAACATTGTTGGCCCGACAATGTTGGGAGTTGTTGGCCAACAATGTTGCATCCGTTAGCACTAACGTTTTTTAACCATCCAAAAGTAACCAGAATATAGGGGCCCCTTTTGCCTGCTAATTCTACGCGCCTTAAGCTTAGGACCAGTCATGGCTTTAATATCAACGTAGCTTTTTGTAAAGGGTTCTTTAAACACCATAAGACTTCGGCCTTGTCTATTACTACTATCAGAATACCCGGGATACACGTGAGTCGCTAGCCCACTGGTAGCCCGTGTACAAACGTTCCCCCTCTCGCAGAAAAAAACCTATTTTTTTCTGAGGGAGGGGGACGTCTGTACACAGGCTAGCCCAGAGGGTGCGAATGGGGTCAACAGTTAACTGATATTTGGCCAAAAAATAGTAGTTAACTGATAATTGGCCAAAAAAATAGTAGTTAACAGGTAAATGAAAAGTTAGCAGTTAAGTGATATTATATTAATGTCAATGAAAGCAACAAAGTTTTGCAAACAGAAATGCTATTTTCTGATATTTTTCTGTCCCTCTGATGACCCGGTTGGTGATTTTCTCAGTGGCATTGGTTTGGTCTAAATATGGATTTTATTCTTATAACTGAACATTAAGCACCAGGTTACTAGAGAAACAAGCGGACTATCAACCCCGATTACAAGAGTTACGTAGGGGGTCCGGGGGCATGCTCCCCGGGAAAAAATTTTGGAAAATTGAACTCTCTGAGACGCCATATCCTGCATTCCCTGGATCGAACGCAAATAATTTATACGTGTACTTTGTTGAGCTTTTCTCAAAGTCGCGTTATTCATGATTCCCGAGCCGAAGATTCATGATTTTTACATGTTTTGTAAGTATGATCTCTCTTCCTCCCCTCCCTTGAGCGAGGTTGGTCTCTCTTTGCACGAAGTTTCCTCGACGCTTATTTTGAGTGATGAAACTAAATGGCAAATAAATAATCTGCCTTTCATAAATATGTTTCATATTACATCTAATGTTTTTTCGTTTCATGTTTCGGGGTGAAAAAAAGTAAGGTGAAAAGCAGTGTCTATATAAGGCACCGATGGGATTCGAACCCATGACCTCCTGTTTACTAGACAGGCGCTCTAACCAACTGAGCTACGGCGCCTCTCGGTTCACAGTTTGCGCACTTGTGGAATCGATTACGACTTTATTGGTGGATTTGAAAATCTCGAAAAAGAAGTCCGTCATATTTTGGAAATTTCTGGCTTGAAACAAGCGAACATATCGCTTCAAGAGATTAAACCTTCAAAGACTTCTTCAAAGATTCCTTTTTTCTACTCACAACTCTCCAAGCAGCTACTAAACAGGCTTATAAGAATATTTCGTGGGGATTCTGAAATGTTCGAATATGATGTTCCTATGTCCATCTTCAGTGGTAATGCTGGGGTCCGTAGAGTTTCACTCCGAGATTGATGATGTGTAAAACGCGCACAAACTGTGAAGCGA